CAGGCATTGATTAAGAATGGTTTAGATTTCGGCTTAGAGATTTCAACTGTGATTGCCTCCAGATGTTCGTCCTCTAGGTCATGCCTTTCCTGATAATTTATTACACTTCTTATATAGATAGCTACCCCACCACCATTTCTGTTTCTATCATTTCTGACTATATCGTAACCTCTTATATTCACATCCTGATTTGCTACAGTACTGTCTAACCTAGTTTCGTTTATACAAATTATATCATATTGTTGTTTTTCTAGGTGTATTCTTAATTGATCTATATTCTTAATTAAGCTTCTAATATTTAAATGCGCGATTTTAGAACCTCTTGTAGCAACTTTTCCTTTAGTAATACTGTTTGTATTATAATTTGATTTTTCATCATGCTTTTCTACTTCGTTATTGACATTTTTATCAACATTAAAACTACGCTCGATCGCATTGGAATGTCAGTTGTTTTCAACATTGTTTATGTAAGATAAAAAGTTTCTGGCCATTATCGACGTGCCTAATCTACTTAAATGAACCCCATAGGGATTCAAATGTTTAGTTTCAATGTTAGCATGGTCGATTACTTGGATATTTTTACTCTCACAGTAATCTATTAATGCCATGTTTACCTTTTCTATCTTTGTCTTGTATTCTGGTCTATCCGCTCTTGTAACCAGCAGTGACACAGCTACTTCAGAGGTCGGACTATCTTTCTGAATTATTTCGCATATGTCATTAATTCCTTTGACTAATTCTTTTGCTCTTTTGCTACCGATATCGTTTGTTCCCACATGTAATATTATTTTTTCCGGCTTTCTTTGCAAGCACGGTTTAATATGGTGCTTCATATCGTCAACGCCAGCTCCCCGGTAAGTTTCTGCCCTTATTGCGGTTCTTCTAGAGATCTGACCATTTTTCTTAATTCCTCGAAGCAGTCGTTTACTATCTATATATTTTATCATTGAATCTCCGATTATAACTGTGCTTGCTTGGGTATTGCTCTTAAATTTTCTTGTAGGAGCTGTTTCTCTTGTAATTTCGACTTCGTCACCCTCACTTTCTTCGATAGTCAACGGGGCATATTGGTTTGAGTTCAACACTGGATTTGTGGTATGGCTTTTCGTAATTACCGATGCTACTTGTCTCTTCGTAGCTCTGGATGGTGCTTTCGTGTCTTTTTTATTTTTATTCATCTGAACTTTGGACCATGCGTTTCGATCGTCGCCAGTGTCCGGGCAAGTATCATTACGATCCGAGTGGAGCAAACGTATGGCAGTTAGAAGACTGGCTTTTTCGTCTTCCACAGCCTTAATTTTGCTTTTCAAATCGTCTGCCGCATTTTCGTACTTATTTAGGCGTTCATTCAAGTGAACGTTTATCGACTTTAATCGTTCATTTTCTTCTTGCAATCTGCGGATATCTAGATCTTTCTGCTCGTCTGGGTTGTTTCCTGATTCATTGGTTGCGACATCTACATCTTGCGTATAGGCTTCAAACTTTTGTTCAAAACAACTGAATTTTGTACTCAGACTTTGGACAATAGTGATCAGTGAATCGAGACGATCACTCTCATCATTATTCCTCATCGAAGGAATATTTTCTGTTGCTTTGTCAAAATAGTCCTTTGACGAAGCTTTTGAGTTGTTTGATTCATATAACGGTTTCGTTTTAACCATAGCCGCTAATTTATCTTTAATCAGATTTCCTTCTTTTCCATTGAATGTTAATGTTGATTGTTTACCGTACCAAGTCATCTCGAATCTGCCGTTTATACTTGTAAAGCGCTTTGCTTCTCCCCCAGGCGATGTCCATTTACCTTGTTCATGAAGCGATTTTTGAACAAAGTCCTTTAATGTTTCTAGTGTGCCTTTCCATAACAACCGTTCGCCATTTAACTGGAGCGGTTCGATAAATTGTGAATGTGAGCATGAGCCTGATTTTGATTTGCTTTGATCGTGATTCGTATCGTTGTTGTCGGTGTAAAAAGATTCGTAATCATCCGTTTGGGTAAATTCGCTAAAGCTTATACTATTATCGTTGGTAAATTCGGATAAACTTTTAGCCAATATTTGGCTTGGACTAGCAGAGCAATCTTGAACACGTCCACACTCCATGACTTCCTATGGATCATCTGGATATTCCATCACACACGAAAGGGGTACGGTTTGTAACCGTATCCCTTGTCTCCTAATCAAACAAGTCGACGATCGGTTCTTTCGGTGGATCTTTTTCCACATCGTTGTTGTTCTCGTCTACAATCTCATCATCCTCCTGTTTCGCAGGACTTTTCTCGTCGCGACTTTTCCACGTCAAATACAACGATCCCAACCCGATTCCCACCCCGAGAACCAAACATAATCTTTCGACGGAAATCCATCAACCTTCATTCGTACATTCCCCGCGAACTTCCGCTTTTAAATTTTCTTCGGCCTTTGCTTTTTTCGCAGCCTTGGCCTGTTGACTTATTTTGGCCAATCTTTTTCCCGCTTCGACTCGGCGTGGATCCTTGATTTTTTTCGAAGGATCCGTGGGTTTGGTCACCGGAACAGATTCTGGATTTACTTCGGTCATTTTCTTTATTGTATGAAAATACTTTTATTTTGTTTAACTTTGTTTAAGATTTACCTGGAAGGAACTGTAGTACGGACTTGAAATTTACTAGAATTTTACTCGTAAGATTCTTAAAGTCAGTCTTTAATTCTGCTGGGATTGTTACTAAGACTTACTTGTAAGATCTTTCAAGTCAATCTTTGATTTTGTTGAAAGTTACTACCAAGACTGACTTGTAAGGTTTTACAGAAAACACTAAGATATACTGCAGTTTCCTTCCGATGCTTTTTGTGTGACTCTCTCGCGTGCAAAATTCACTATTCCTTCCGTCGTTGCAGAAATACTGAAAACCTGAAGTTCTCTTTTCTTTTCGATAGGTACTTCTTCTTTCACCGGTTCATCAGACTTCCTCAATTCTTCCAGTTCCTGGACAGAAGGAAATTCACAAAATCCGTTATATTCCAAGTCGATCTTTGGTAATGTACGTTCTTTTTCAGGAATGTCTTTATGACCTAATGCCAGCGTATGAATTTTATCGTCTAAAATATACCGTTTGTCGTCCCTGGCCGAAAGTGCCGTTTTTACCAAACGTTCGGTATAAATGTTATGATAATGACTACGAAGTGTCGTCATGCCTACACGTCTTTCTATTTCACCTAATAGAACATCTTTATAATGCTGATGCGCCAGATCTTTTTTCACGACACATTTTTTAACTCCCTTGCATTTCTTAATCACCTTTCCATCGTCGCCGAGCGTCGAATAAGATTTTGGACGTAATCCTACAAATTCTTTAATCTGACCCGCACCCGTTTCGGATTTCATCATACCGATGACCTTCTTATTCATTCCACATGGAATTCCAGACGGATGAGATTTTGGAAAATTACTCGTGTCAAATTTCTGACGAACGTCGGGTGTAATGTCTTTGAAAAGATCGTCGGTCGCTATCTGGTAATGAAGTGAATCCGTATCCGTGAAAAGAAGTTCTGCTTTTTCTCCATATTTTTTCTTCACGTAATTGTAGTGAAAGTCGTACATCAGCGTCTTGCTGATATCCAGGATGGCAACACCTACGTAAATAGGTTTATCCAAACGAACGGTCGTCCTTCGCATGTGAACCAACGCCAAGTGCTCGGTATATATGTCTGTCGAGACGTAATAACTTTTTTTCACTAGTTTATTCCACTTCTTTTCATTGTTAACGAGCTTCACGTTGATACGATCGCGAACATTTTCCATCGTCTTTCCAAACACCGAATTGTTCATCAGTTTGAAAAAATTACTTTCAAAATCAGACTTGGCTTTTTTACGCAAATCGGTATTCAACCGAATATATTCTGCCATCCATGCCCTTTCCGAAAACATCAGACCGCGATGAATTTTTGTCACGATCAATCCTAATTCCACGTATTTTTTTAATGTTCTATGATGAACGATATACTTTTTCTTATCGTTTAAATTCGGAACGAGTTTATCAACCTTTCCTATTCGAAGACGTTCCGGTGCCAACGGATAGTCGCTGTGCAAATCATGTAATTCTTCCGGATATTTTAAATCTACTTCGACGTAACAACCTTTTCCGTCCGGAAGATTGTTCCAATTTTTCAACCGATCCAAATTCATCCATTCAAAATTCCCGTACGGAAGTTTTTCACACATGGCCCAACCGTATAAGTTGTTTGCATCCCAGTAGGGTAGAAATGTACTTTTCTCTTTCGGATTAAAATCTTTCGCATACTTATTATTGGCAACGGCATATCTTTTACTGATCATACATATTCCGCCACATTTTGCCTTTTCGATAAAATTAAACATGATCGTATCGGAAATTAAATCCAGACGGATACGCGTCATTTTCAGACACGCATCCCATGCCAATGACGGCGACGTATAATACCATGCAGGATCCAATTTGTAATTCCCCATACAAATCTCGCGAAATCTTTCCATGATGTCTGCCAATAATAACACGTCCACTTTCAAATAAAGATCGTGATAATCGCGCATGGTTTTCATATCGAACGACTTCCATACTTTTTGTGCGTGTAAATAATCTTCATCCGTAATACCTTCGTCTGTCAAACTACTGTAAAATTCTTTTTGCGACGGAAGAGACGGTTCGGAAAATTTCTTAAATTCATCCATCCATTCGTACGGATAAACACCTTTTCGTTTTAACATTCGACGTTGATCCAACGTATAATTTCCCATCATTTTATCCGTTAATTTAAAATCATTCCCTTCCAAATCTTCCGCAAGAGTTCCTAACGAGGACGACAAGAATTTGAACGAATCTAAAAACCGTAAATTACGTTTAACATCGACCGTTTCCTCTTCCCCGGTAGGATTTCCATCCTTATCCTTTTTATCACGAACATATGATCCGACCACAACTTGTTTTGTAAATGAAATATACTTTTCCGATGTCTGTGCGATACAGTTGACATCGCCTTCGCTTCCTCCAAAACATTTGACGACGTGATGTGCATCGTAACCTGCTAAATTATGAAAAAAGACCGGTGTGAATCCTGGATTCTTCATCGTTAAATTACATCGGTTACATGCCGCGCCGCGATACGTGCCCGTGTAATGACAATGATCTTTTGTCTTGTGATTGTCTTTCGTAAACCTTCCGTTGCATGCGTAACACGACCCGGATGTTTTAAAATCCTCGTCATCATCCGGTTTCATTTTAATCGGAACGGGAAATTTAAATCTCTCGTAAATTTCTTTCGTATCCTTTTCCAACAACTCGTAGAATTTTACCATCACATCTTCGTCTTCGTGTTGTTGTTGTGTGTAACTTACGTATTTCGGAGGATAAATCTCGTCGTCGAAACATTTGATCAGATAACCGAAACTACACGCCTTGTGTTCCTGTGTTCTTTTCGTACTCGAATGATCCAGACTTTCTTCCTTGTTGTAAGATAGTGGTTTCAGTAAGGATTCCGTGTCCGCATACACCACAAACGGAACGTTGTGAATCCTGTGGTAATTTTTAAATTTTAAAACACTACCTTCTTTCGGATACGTACATGTCTGCGCTTCATGATCCAAACACAACTCCCGGTGCTTTTTTAATAATTCCTCGTTCCTGAACGGATCCAGAACCGCGGGCCGGATCGTATTCGTCGATGTGAATCTCCAACCGAACTATTTTATCCAACATCCAATCACTACCGTTTCGCTGATATTTTGCAAAAGATTCCAAAATCTTTTCACGCATCTCTTCCCAAATTTCATCCCCTAAACTTTGTCCCGTAATTCCATAAGTCCTTGAATAAAAACCGGACCTATCTGTCTCTACAGTATCTCCAGTGTTTTTATCCACTTTTTTCATGTCACAGACTAAACGTACCCATACTTTCTTTGATCTGTCGATCGAATCTACGAGATTGCAAACATGACGACCGGTCACATCTAAAAAATAAGGTGGATCGTATATCTTATTCGGTGTGATCGTGTACACTTGTGCACGTCTTCGAAATGCATGCTGTTGTAAAACCGGTGCAAAATCCTCGTCGGGAATCTCAATCTCACCAGTCATCAATTGACGACGACGAACTTCTTTTCTCCTCTGACGTTTCCTTGCATTCTTACGATGTCTTTTTACCCTTTTTTCTTCCCATGCCCGTTCACCAGCTTCCCAACCAGGTACATCCTTACGACGTCTTTTTTCTTCGTCTGAAATATATTTTTCCCATCTTTTTTCATTACTAATTTTCCATACCGTCTCCCTGTCGCGGTGTATCGATAAAGTACCATGTCTTTCACGCCTCGCGGTCCTTGTCTCCTTTTCCCAACTTCTTTCGTTACGTCTCTCTTGTTTCCTCCTACCCGACTTTTTATGACCCGTCTTTTTTTTCTGACCCGTCCTACCACTTTTACGACCCATTCTTTTTTATACCGGGTTTTTCATTCGTATAAGGTGTTACCAGGTTTCAATTTTACACGGGTTTTTTAAAAATATTTATTTTTGAAAAAAGGGGAAACGACTCGGAAAAATCTCGGATAAAAATCCAGGGGATAAAATCCCGGAGAAAAATATCGGATAAAATCTTGGAAAAGTCTTGGGAAAAGTCTTGGGAAAAATCATGGAGACCGGACCCGGGAGGAAGAGCCGAAGGGGATGAAGACACCGTATAAAATATTGCGTCTGAAGCGGAGACACTATATTTTGTCTTACACGAAGTATTGTGCCAGGGCTGGAGACACTATATTTTGTCTTACACGAAGTATTGTGCCAGGGCTGGATACACTATATTTTGTCTTACACGAAGTATTGTGCCAGGGCTGGAGTCACTATATTTTGTCTTACACGAAGTATTGTGCCAGGGCTGGAGACACTATATTTTGTCTTACATGAAGTATTGTGCCAGGGCTGGAGACACTATATTTTGTCTTACATGAAGTATTGTGCCAGGGCTGGAGACACTATATTTTGTCTTACATGAAGTATTGTGCTCATATCCCCCGTTTGACACTACTCGTATGTATACTCAACTGTCATCGTTTATTCTGCATGGTTATCACAAAAGCTGTTCTCCGTACATCAACGAAAAACAATTTATTAGCAATTTTAAAAAATTAGCATAGTCGGCACTGTTTGCTTAGAACTTGTAATATAATAGCCTTCTAGATGGCGAAAGCTGTTGCTTGTCTTGGCCTCATCCAAGATTCCTGTGCCGCAGGTTTTTCCTAGCCTCCCTAATACTCCAGCTGTTGGTAGGATTGATGGAAATGCACAAACAGACGTTTTGCTACTATCACCACGTGAAAGCTATCCACTATATGATCCCATCAGCAGTGCATTGGGAATGGACTCGCTTCGTCTGCTGGGATGCACATTATGTGTATTGTGAAGATGAAGGCCCATCAGTAGAATGGTAATAATCGTCGCCTTGGTTCAGGTCGATGTCTTAGGGAGCTTCTAAATCTGTGGGGGGGGGGGAGGGAGGGGTGGGGGAGGGGGGTTAAGAAGACTATTATCTCCAAGTCAGGCCAAGATGGCGAATTTGCGTGTGCATTTTTAAATCAATTTTTTTTGGAATAAGATTTGGTTAACGTTGACTGACCTATGATAAATATTGTGGCCTAATACACGAAGAAAAGAATCATCGAAGAAATATAAAGGAAATCAACCGATTGAGCGTTGAAAAATCAAGTATGGCTTTGGCTCTCACAACACGTGTCGATCTATCATTCTCGCGCTACCAATTAGACGAATTCAAGAAAAACACTAAAGCCCGTCAAGTTCCCTTCGAAGAAATAGACTATTCGATATACAAAACAACCTCCAACTGTATCGCTTTTACTACTAGCGAAGAAAGAATTACCACGTGGATTAAAACGTTTTATCTCCACTATTGTGCCGAAGCAATCAAAGATGGCGGCACAACACTTAAGTCAACATGGGATGAAACACCAGCTCAAAACGATGCGACCAAATCGGAAAAGATATCCATTACATTGTCGACTGAGGACGAGAAAACTCAAGTAAACATTGTCACTATAATAATCTACTGCAGTACTGGACGAATCCAGATTCAAGGTAAATCATTACGTGTTTGGGGTGACAGTGAATTCCCTATCATCAAAGATCTCGTCGACCAAAACGTTAGAAATACATCAAATTTCACATCATTAAAGAACATACAATCTTTCCTAAAAACTGTCTCGCAACCCCCAATGGAAAATGAATGTGACGTAACAAATCCAGCAATTATCACAGTCATAACCGAAGACCTCCCTCCTCTTTCAAATCCTTCAAACCCTTGCTGTGAAAAATCCCTTACCACCATGAAAAATAACATGGCGGACCTCGAATCGAGCTTTGTATCCTTCAAGCAAGAGATCTTCAAATCATATGAAGACCTTAAACATGATCTAACATCCAAAGATAAAGAAATTAATATGTTAAAGAAGAGAATTGGCAGTCTGGAAGCAACAAATGAACTACTGCGAAAAGATAATATTGAACTCAATAGCTTATCCAAAAAGCAGAAACAAATTGAGAAAAAAGTTAGTAACACCATTGACCAATATAATAAACTCAAGAAAAATAATGAAGAGAACCTTACCCCCCAAACAGAAGAATCACTCCAATATTCCACGTCAACTGAAAATGTTCTACCCAACATCCCTACCCACAATATTTTTTCTCCCCTTAACGAGGAAAATCCCAACCATGACATCTCAATTAATATATCACAAAGTTTGCAAGGTGAAACCAAGAAGGCCTCACCCAAAACATTAGACACAGAAACAATCATCCTATGTGACTCAAATGGGAGAAAACTCGACCCCAAACTGCTCAGCTGCCCAAATTCATCCACCGAATACCTAAAATGTCGAACTCTAGAATCAGCAAATCAACTCATAAACCAATATGAATTCAAACAAACCAAGACCTTCATTGTTCATGTTGGTACAAATGACATTGAAAAGCTCCCAATTAACAAAGTCACAGACCAGACAAGATCTCTTCTTACCTCAATTGGAAACAAAAATCCTGAGGCACGGATCCTGCTATCAAATCTCCTCCCTCGTAGTGATGAACTCCTCCAAAAAGCACAGAACCTGAACAAAAACTTCCTCCAAATCCCTACCGAATTTAAAAATGTTACCAACATTGAACATACAAACTTAAATTGTTCCAGTCGACATCAATCTTATATGATAAAAAACACCTTAACGACAAAGGCATCAAGATATTTGCAAAGAACCTAAAGAGTGCATTCTTTGGAACGCAGAAGACCCATCGCGACATCAAAACCAAACGAAGTAGACGGTGCAGTCTCCGACTGGGCACATGTTACTTCGGGCGTTCCGCAAGGAAGTATTTTGGGTCCTATGCTATTTGTAATATTCATAAACGATTTACCAGACGTTGTGCCAGACTGTATCTCTACAGGACTTTACGCAGATGACACCAAACTCTACAGGAACGTATCAACTATCGGTGACTGTGAGAAATTACAAGACGCTTTAACAGAACTTGGTTCTTGGAGTTATCAAAATAACATGAACTTTAATGCGTCAAAGTGCAAAGTTCTGTCCATAACACGCAAGGTCAATCCATTGCATTTTCAGTACCATATGGATTCTACTAAGTTACTTAGAGTAAACGAAGAAAAAGATCTCGG